GTTTCCTTCCAGTCTAAATTATGCTGTGATTCTAAGACTTTCTCAAAGTTTTTCTCTAAGATTATTTTCCTTTGGAAGGCATCCCAAACTTTGATGAAGCCAACAGTTAAGACCCATCTATTTTAGGTTTCTCAGCTAGGCACCAGTCTGTATCTTTAGTTTTCATTAAGGTTATTAGATCTCTAAATATATTATGCGTGGCATTCCAGCTTCACTTTTTGAAATAACAGTAAAGGCACAAAGTTGGATGGAATGGTTAAACAGAGGAGAGTCTGGATATCATAGAGGGGAAAAAGAAGAATTAACATGAGAATGGCCAAATAGGAGTGGAATACAAAGTTAAATAGGAAGTTGCACAGCTGATGGCAAATAACAGGAATTTCTGCTCCACGGTAGGAGGTCCCTAGCTGAAAATTTTTGAGAAGACCTAGAGTGTACCTGTTAATTGTAGATAACTAGGAATGACCCTTAAAAAGGTGCTTTTCTGAAAACGCTGTATGTAATCTTAGAACATATAAGACACGGCTAGAGATAAGGAACAGTTAATATTTCAAGATGTGGCACTGGTGAGATTGCTCCTGGAATGTTGTATACATTTTTAGCTATGTGCATTGATGAAATATGGATCCAGATAGAAAGTACTGTTGCCAAGGGCTCCAAGGATGTGCTGCAGAATCAAAAGAACCTGTTTTTCAAGAAATGATTAAGCACGATTAGTTTGTTTACCTAGTAAAACAGGTTGAAAAACTGTGATCTCTCCATTTATGATCAAGGTTGAGTCCTAAGTATCAGATTGAGAGGAAGAGCTTTTAAAACTAAATGACCCTGTCAGTTCAAAATCAGAATATAATTTGATCATGACTGGAAACTAAAAGAAGGTTCCTATGCATCAGAAGCCAATCCCTTGCAGTAGCCTTCGAAGTTGGGGGGAATGCAATTCTTATTGTTCTCAAGGCAGGGCTTGGCCTTTTCACAAAAGGTGCTTTTAAGTTTGCAGACTGGATTTGTGATCTGGATTCCTACTGCATTCTTATGTTATAATTTTACTAATACTTGCAGTTGAATTGCCCTGACATATAGCTTTGGAGTGACTACCATTTTCTTGATGATGATATCTATTGTTCTAGGAAGCTAAAGGGAACTGTCTGGTTGAGAGTCGGAAAAGTCATGAGTAGTGCAAGGTTTTACCAGTAACCATATGGAAGGCAAAATTTAATTAAGATTATCCAAAGGTCAGTGTTATTAAGTAGGCTGTAATTGTTCATAGCAAGTAAAAGAATGGACATGGTGGCAGTGGTGGCAGGGAAGGGCGCACAAATTACAAGGAATGGCACATTTTGGTGTAACGTACAGGCAGACAGTAGTCATAGTTCACATGCTTTAAGAATGACTTCTCTTTTAACTACAATCACTGTCAGGAATCAGACATAAGGCACAACAAGGGCACAATCAAATAAAATACTTCTCAGGAAACCAATTCGGGTTTCCTTGAACTAAGTAGGTAAAGGGCTGCTCCAAAGTACACATAGCCCCAATATACTTCCACATTGGGTTTGCCTGTGCTGTTAATAGCACTGAACTATAAATCTGAAATCTTTTAAGCACGAGTATTTATTGAACACCTAGTTTGTTCAATATATCCAAGGCATTATATTTTTTCTTCCTGCGAGTCCTTGGCTGGCTCTAGCAGGTCTTAGCTGAATGGACTTTAACCATAGACTATGAAAATAAAACTTCTTACCAAAATACATTTTAGCTATCAGTAACCAGGAACACTTCTAAAGTTGGAACACCCTATTTTTAAATGCCAGAAAGGTATGAACTATTATAATCTTGACAAGCTCAGGAGAAAAGGTGTTTCACAAGAGTGTACAAAAGGAATACACTTGCACATTTTCTACCTAATTAATTTTTGACCACTGTAGATAAACATGTATTTTGGGACCTTTAACAGAGGGCAGAACTGGGAGGAGACAAGACTAAAACTGCCTAAACCATAGTTTGTGTTAGAAGTTAATGATTCTTCTACCAAGTACCAGCACAACCTTGCTTAAGGAGAAAATACTCTGACTTTTGAGCATTTGCGTGGTGGTATAACTGCTGTTATTGTGGATACAGAACCTAGGTAGGAACCTTTTTAATACTCTTTTTGTTTGTCTTAACCTTAAAATGTTGTCATTTAGTGTTTGCAGCTAATGAACGTTACCTGTATAGTACTAGTTCAATTTCCTGTGACCAGTAACACCAGTAACATTCCTGTTCTAAATGTCAGTGCTCTCATGATGAGATCATACATTTGTATGTGTGTCTCTGAAAAGTAAGCATCATATGTCTTGAACAATGCAAGCAGCACTGAGGCCTGCACAGCACTGTGCTATTCATTTTTCATATTAGGTTAACTTAAAATGTCTTATTATAATTCCTTACTGTACTTAAAAATCAGTAAGATGATTGGATTAGCACTGCAGTTAGTGTAAATCAATACAGTTCCATAAACTACTGGATGAAATGTGGCTCTTGATTTGTGATTTGTTAGTAGGTAGGTATAGCTCCTGAGAGTGCAACTGCAGTGAGAAACAGCCCAAGGACTTCCAGTGTCTTTGCTGGATTCCGAAAATTCCTTAAACATCACTGTATTTTTCTTTCTTAAGAATCTACAAAACCTGTAGCAAACTGTTGTCTTGACCTTTGTAAACTAATTACCTGTTATTCCTACTAAGGTGTTTAAATTGGTGCTCTTATTCATTATAATTTGCATATAATTAGGGGCTAGAAAACCAAGCTTGATATTTTTTTTTTTAATGTTCACTAAGGAATAGGTCTACCTAACAAGCACCTAGTTAGGCGATGGTCTGTATAACATCATATACCCTGAAGCACTGAAGGAGTCTGCAACTGTCTTTTGCAAGGCTGGCTGTTGTACTCTGGAACGATCTCGCAAGGTGCCACATGCTTTCCATGGCGCTGTGATGGGAAGCTCTCTCAGCTCCCACCAATACAAATGATCCACACTGATTATTAGTTAAGGGCCTTGATCTTCCTCCACCCAAAGTGTTGCTCAGAAGAGACTTTACTGAGCAGAAGCCCAAATGAGTTTGTCAAATGTTCCCTGGAGGGAACTGGAAGAGTGTTAACTTTCTTTCTCACAGTATGGTTTGAGGTTTTCTGGTGTTTTTTTTTTTTTATTTCCTTATGCTTGCTTTTAAGGAGAAGATTGTTTTCTTCCCTTGGGAAGGAAGTCAGGGTGATTTTTGTTTACGTTGATTGACTACCTAAACAATGCCAATATGCTATTTGACTGATCTTGTCTTTCTGCACATGCAACTATCTCAGGTCATTACTACAGCTGAATGGCTTGTGCATTTCCCCAGACTTCATCTCTTCTATCTCCAGCAGATTTCCGTGTAGGTCAGTGTCAGCTGAGGATGGGAGGAGATGCTGCCAGCAGCTCCAAGAGTTGATCCTTGCACATAGCTTGCTCTAACATCTCTCCAGCACAGCTGCATCATCTTTTTTCTTCCTTCCCACCCCGTCCTAGTCTTCCCAAGCAAAAGTAAAGCCATCTCCAGCAGTGTCTTTGCAAAGCAAAGATAAGGCATGTGTCATTCACCACTGATAGGAGCTGGTCACCCCTGTTCTTGCCTGAGACTCCTTCCCCTGGATCACTGGAGGAGCTGAGCACTGACAGTACTGAGCCAACTAACTTCCACCTTCTAGCTGGCTTCACACTTTTCTATGTGCATCAAGCAGGTTTTTTTCCCCACAAAGATGTATTTTACTTTATTTTAATTCTCTTTTTTATCCTTTATTTTGCCAGGTACCCTAACCTCTGCCTCTGGATGCCTTTTTCACTATTCGCCTCTAACTGCTTAACCTGCTCTTTGATATTTACTGCTCGCACTTTCAATCTTACTGTCCTCCCTTCTTGTGCCTTCACAGTCTTTCTCTGAAACATTTACTGGGGTAGCCTGTTAATATCTAAACTTCTTCAGTTACATGTATGGATGCCTGACTGCCTTTCTCTTTTCTCTACTTTGCATCTTATTTTTACTTTTAAGTTTCTCTGCTTTCACTCTTTCTCTCCTTATATTGAGATTCTGAGTCAAGTTGTACCTTAAAACTCTCAAAAAAGCCACTTCTTTAGTCCTGTTGCCTGCAATGACATGCTACCCCAGCATCTTATTGTAGTCCTTAATGTATCATGATAACAGGGAGAAGCTAGTATCTTCAGATTACACAGGGACAAATAAATTTCAGAGGACCAGGTGCTCAAAAGTATTTGTGTACTAACTTTCCCTGAGCACTAAGAATCTCATTTCACAAGCATTTCTGTTGGTAGTTGTGCAGACTTGAGGAAATCCTTTCCTCTACTTCTTGTTCCTATCTGTCTGAGGAGCTAAGAGGAAGGAAAAGCTATTTTTTTGTCCAGATATGTGTTCTGACCCAGACTTACAACACAGCCACAGAAGCAGTGGTACACACATGAGTCAGGAGCAGATAGGAGCAGTGGGAAAGGAAAGTTGTTCTTGCCAGTATTAGTACCCAAGGACATGCTCATGAACTTAAGCCCAAGAGATTCCTAAATCGTTTAAATCTCTATGTGTGTATCTGTCTTGAACATCCTTAGGTAATAACCCTCTTAAACCTGAGTGAAGAAAGATGTTCTTCACCATTGTGCATTAGAGCAAAGCCTACACTTTAAATGCTCTGAAAAGTGTTACTCTGCCATATGGCCTGTAGGAGAGCAATTTGCAATTGCAGATGGACTTTTTCCAGCATTGGAAAAGTTCATTCAACTTTTTTCAGCTCCATTCAAGCATGGAAAACCTCTCTTTGTGTGATTTTTCCTCCCCCTCTCTCTCTTCTTCACCCTTTTCTCAAATGAGGAGACTGCTGTGAAAGGTGAAATAAATCAGTTCCTGTGAACTATGATTTCTGAGTTCTGACTTGGGGTCATTAGTTTCAATACTCCTCTCTCCCCTGTGTGTCAGGATCTGCAGATCTGAAGAGGGTTTGTTTCAAGTGACCCATTTTTTCCGAGGGGCTCTGCAGTGGCATCTGGATCTTCCTTCAGAAATCTGTTTTGTTTGTAGTTGGAGTTGCACAAACGGGCAAGTGTTTTCATTCTTTAAATAAGCTTTGCAGATAGATACATAGACTTCCCTTACAGCTCTTCACTGAAGTATTCTTTTTAATTGCTTACCCATCTCTCAGATATAGAGTTTTAAAAAACTGAGGAAAGAAAAAGGTGAAGTATTGTACTATTCATTGCAATAAAACCAAATTTAGTTTAATCATGAAACAAGGCTTTCAAAAATAATTAAAAAAAAAGTTATATCAAAGGAGGGGAAAGATTTGTCATCTATGGCTACAGGGTATGCTCTTCCCAGGGGAACTGGAGTCATTTTGCTGAATTTCTGAGTTGCAGATGATTTCATGCATCAGAGAATATAGACAGCGCTCTGCAAAGAGAAGGGGATTAGGGATACCCTGTATACCATCGCACAAAGAAAAAACACATAATCTCCTTATAGTAGGTTAGGTAGCTAAAATAATAAATTCTTTTGTCATTAAGAATTGTTTCCAACAGGCCAGTGTGAAGGAGTAAGTCGGATGGCTTGGTGTTACTACAGAGATCTTACCAAAATAATGACTGAGTCCTAAGCTGTGTGGCCTGCAAATTCAGAGCTTCACTAGGATTCCTTGTGCTTCAGCACTGATGCTTTGTTGACCCTTGTAGTTTGTTTTATGACAGAGACTTTGTCTCTTACTCTTTTGTGGAAACTGTCTTTTTAGCATTAAAAGTCATTCTAGACCGAAAAAAGGAGGGGGGGAAGGAGGGGGCAGTGGGGAGAGTGAAGACCATTTCAGTTGAAAAGAAAGATGTCAAAACAAGATACTTCAGCATTTAAACAAATATACACTTTGAAACACCCAAGTCATTGAGCCAAATCCTTTCCAATGAAAAGGTTCTGTTTCAACATCTCAGCATTTTCCTGTAACTCCTGTTTTATCAGAATGGTCCTTAAGCAACTCTAGTTTGGCATATGTGCTTTTGTATTTATTATTGTTTTTCTCTTGGGTTCAGATCACTCAGTAAAGAAATCAACCATGACAGTGGAAACCGAATCCAGCAATGTTGATGACTCAAATCAGGAAGCAGAACCTGCCCAGCTTTTGGATGATGAAGCAAACAAAAATCTAGCAGTCAAAAAGAAAACTTCCTGTTGCACTGGCTTGAAGGTTTGGTGCCTTATCAATATCACCACAAGTTACTGTTGTCATAAGTTAAGAAAAGTTGTTCAAGATATGACATGACAGGTTACTTCATTCCTGTTGCCCCTATCTTTTCTGGAACTGGATACACACTTGGAGGTACAGGGAATGGTTGGATCTTGTCTTTGTCCTAAAGAAAATAAAAATTCCTGATTTAACATATTTACTCTCAAGTTACTCATAGGTAGATTCCCTTTTTGGTCATTGGAGAGAGGTAGCAACCTCCAGTGTAAGACTTGAAGCATCCTAAAATAGGTGGCTACAATACACCATTGTCTGGAGGTTGCTATCACCGCCCATTCTTGTAGGTCCAAAATAGGGTGAGGAAAATCGTATTCCAGGACTTTTGTCTAATCCAGGGCTGCAGGTCAAACAGCCCACTGATTCCCACAAGCATCCAAGCTTTCAGGAATGCACAAGAAGAATTGACGGAATAAAGCAAGTAAACTAATGAGAATTTTGCTTTCATGTTAAAGCCTTAGTGTTTATTGCTTCTGGCTGAGCTGCAAATACTACAAGGGCAAGATTTCTTTTGACAGTGATGTGTTTGGGTTTATGTTTTGACTACTTCAGCCAGCTTCATCTCAGGTGAAATTCCATAGGCCCAGTGGAATTGCAATCAGGGACACATTTCTCTCTATAAAAAGGAAAGATCTGCAAAATGAAAGATTAATGGAAAAAAATAGGTAATTGCAAGCTTCTCAACCATCCAAAATAGTTTGGCTCAAGTATCAGGCAGAGGTTGTTATATCTTTTATTTTATCTGACTCACATTTGCCACCCATATACACCTGCAAAAATAGAATCTGATCTCTGGGAGACTCACAGGACTAACTTTGCTATCATGTATGTGGGCAATGCCGCACAACTGTGGGTCTATGTCTAACTTTATGGTAATTAGAGTTTAATAGGCATGATACCTTGGAGGTAATAAAAGACAAACTGTTATTCTCCCTCACCTTCCCACCAAACGTTTTGTGGTTTACCTGGGCATTGCATTTTCAAACCCAAAATACCCAAGTCATTTTAACTCATGTTTTCATGCTTATCAGCAGTTTGTGATTTCAGCCAAAACCCCTGAGAGCACTGTTGGCATAAGGCAAGAATGGTGCTTCTCACAGACTTTTCTCCAGTCGAGCTCAGGAAAAATAAAACGTCAGGACAAAGCCCACACTTGTGAGATTTTTCTCTTCATTCCTGACAAAAAGAGTGTAAACATACCTATTGTAAAGATTTACGTCCAGGATTGGCTTAATTTCTTACAGTAGATAGTATTGCAAAGTCTAAATCTATATTTACTTTTGTTTACTTACCCAATATTGTGTTGTATTGGAACTTTTACCCAGTGAGCAATAAGTCTATTTGTTTTTTAGACTATGTTGAAATAGTTGGGTAATATTTAAACAAACTTAGTTTAACTTTTTATCAAATACATCTTTATTTGCAAAAGCCACAATGTGTGTTGGTGGAAGCAACTATGAAATTATAAAGAATATTAAGCCTTCCCTTATGAGGTATATGGTATACAGGCGACATAGCCATAATCCACACATTTCAAAATATATCATTTGAGACAGAGATGAACTCAGTCAGTCTGTACCACCTTCCACATACTGGGATATCATAAAAACTTGCATAAAGCCTTTATTTTGATGCCATGGCTATCTGTATGTCTGAGTTAGAACCAGTTATGAACTGGCCTAAAATAAGTGACATGTGGCCCAAGCAGAAGATAATTGGGTGTAAGATTAATTTTAGGTCGAACTAGTGTCAGTAAATCTATCTTGATGAGGTATTTTACCTCTGGCAAATTTTACATTTCTGCAAAATCTAGAAATTTAGAAATCCCTCCATTTTGGCTGCCCAACACTAGGCCTCAGTTTTTGATAAATTTAACCTCAGGATATCAGTAAGGTAAGTCATCCCCAGTGAATTGTTTGCCAAATTTAAGTTCCACAGTCCATAGGATTTCTGCTTTGGAAAACCTCTGGCCAGCAATGCAGGGAAGATCAGGCTTTCTGGTCATTAAGATGGCTATTGCAAACCTGAACCCTAAAGCAAGCAGGAGCACTCATTGCTGAGAGATTGCCCTGGCCCTCCAGAGCATTAGGGTATGTGAAAATTCACACACAACGTTGTGACTGCAATTTGAGTGGCAAACTTATACGGTGATGATGATTGCTCCACACAGTTTTAAACATATTTGATCCCTCTGTGACCAGTTTCCTTGCCTCTACCTGCCATTTTCTGTCTTAATCTTTCCTCAGGCATTTCTTGCTGCTTTATCATTCAGCTACTTGAGTAAAGCGTTGTCTGGTACGATTATGAAAAGCTCCATCACTCAGATTGAACGAAGGTTTGACCTGACATCCTCTACTGTTGGTTTCATCGATGGGAGCTTTGAGATGGGTAATTGATATTCCATAACATGCAGAAAACTCTTCAGAGAAATGTGAGGCACAGCATCTGGCATTAATTTTGGTTCATTACCTTCCAGGTAACTTGTTGGTGATTGCATTTGTAAGCTACTTTGGAGCTAAACTTCACAGGCCCAAAGTAATAGCTGCTGGATGCTTTACTATGGCTTTGGGAAGTCTTTTAACAGCAATGCCTCATTTCTTCATGGGCTAGTAAGTACCAAGATTAATCTGGGTAACCTAACATTGGAATTGGATACTGCTTTCTGGTTTTTGAATGAAACTTGATGTATTTTAAGTCTTAGATTTCCAAAGGCCTGTAGAGCCTCAACTTGATGTGCAATGAATCATGTTTGACACACATACATCATTGTTCATTTTATCTGGTTGAAAAAAATATGGTTCTTCTGAAGTAAAAGTTTAACTTCTCAAAAAAAATAGGAAAAGCAAAATTCTTTAGATTTCAGTCAGACTTGTTCAGAAGAGAGGCAGAGAAGGAAATGACTTTACAAAAACATTAGATTTTTTTTTTAGGAGGAAACACCCATGAAAATCTTATGAAAATTCAAGTTTCAAACAAAATATATTGTTCTTTGAAAATCTTCAACCATGCTATGCTGGTGCTGTTGCTTTAATTATTTATATACTCCTCCTGAATAGCTAACGGTAAGAACACTTTATTGGAAAAATCAGTGTTAACCTAAGAATGTGGCATCATTTGTTGCTAATACATCATCTGCAGACCCTGCAGATGGATCAGTGCTGGTAGAACTGGTACCAGGGTTTTTCCTGTTTCAAATGCCCATGGCTGGTTAAACTGCTTTTCCATGGCTGGATAAGCTAATTTTTATTCATCTTCTCAAGGCTCAGAGATTTACTGCATGTTGCTTATATGCGATAATGTTTCTAGCCATAGCTTTGACGCAGTGATAGCATAGACTAAGACATATTTCTGTTGCTCTCTTAAATGTATTAGAATAATTTTAGGTATACTACTGCAAGAAGAAAACTAAGGAATACTTTTTTTATCATGACAGTGGATCTCGCACTAGCATCAGACTTGTATTTTCCACTGCTTAAGCCAAAATATGTATCTTGCTCGTCGACGCTGGGAAACTCATACAGTTTCTCATGTACCTGTGCCTGAATTTTTATGGTGAAACTGTTCTGCACTGCCTCTTCTGATGAATGTTCTTTGTTTCAACCTGAAAAATAAGCCTGCCTGGTCTGACAGAGCCACCCCAGTTCCTAGAAGCAGAATGTGTGCTTTACCATGTTGTTCTGCTTAAGCTAATTGTACTTTGCACCTCAGCAGGGCTCATATCTAGGAAAAGGATCCTGCTAAAGCAGATGCAGCATTGCTGTGCTCCCTGTAAATACAGCTAAAGAGTGTCTTTTAGGCACTAACTTTATTCACCCGCTGCTATACAACAGCTCTTTCTAAAGCCAATGCCAATTATCAGGCAAAAGGTACCTCCTGAGGCTGACTTCTCCCTTCCTCAGTCCCCTCCTCCCTCCAACCCCAAAATATGTATCTGCAATGAAAAGGGAGACTCACACTCAAGACATTCTTCTTTTTGTCCTTGACTGTGGGGTCAGCATAGGGAGCACGCTTGAACCTGACCCTAAATTTTGATACCAACAGTTCAATCCTACCTGAATTACTTTCACATGCCCTTTTAAATTTTACAGCCTAAAATGTTATGTCTTCTAAACAGACGATTCTAACTTTTATTTGTTCTTCATTTTAGTGTTCTTGTTTTCCAAAATGTGCTTAAATAATCTTCTTTTTTTCTCCTTTAGTAGGATTTGATTTTTTGATTGATATTTAAACAAAGATACCTTTCTCTTTAGGGAAACAGCAGTAAAGTGATTCCTGCCCTACTACGCTAGTATTTCCCTAGTGAACACTGCTTCTAAACCTACTATTGTGTGTTTTCAGTTATAAGTATGAGACAGCATCACGTACAGCTTCTTCAGTCAACTTAACTTCAAGCATAAATCCCTGTTCTATGCATCAAGATGTGAACGAAACCTTGTTGGAAGTCTCCCAATCAGGTAAGGAACCGTAAGTGTAAGTATAAACAGAGGAGCTAGTTTTATCCCTGGTTGCAAGTAGAGTAAATCATTGCCCCATGCAAGATGCTCAGTTAGATTTCGAACTTCAGTCTCTACCTGTCTGGGAATATTACCAACACTTAAATGCACTTTGTGCATTTCATTTGGAGAAGAAACATCCAGCAAACACAAATTATTAGGATCCAGATCCCCAGTTTCCTATGTTCGCACTTCCAAATTACAGTAAAATCACCCTAACACTGAAGGAGATGCTGAGACAGTGTGCAAAGACATTTCTGAAGGGATTCAATTACCCAGGTCCTGGATTGGGAAGGTGCAAGAGACAGCATGAAAGGACATGAAACTGCACAGAGTTAAGTGGAAATAAATGGAGATTTCTATGATTTTGCTTACTGTATGAAATACAGCTTTTACATGTTGCTTTACATGTGACATAGGTAGAGAAAGAGCCAAGCTGTGCTGCAGAAACCATCTCAAACTTCTCAAGTTAACGATATAAGTTGTATGCCAGATAGTTAATGATATATTTATAGCAATATCAATCTGGCAAATTTTTTTACACAGGCATTTTTTCTGATGTGTGATACTTATCTGTATTTCTAGAAACCAAATACAATGGAGGTGGAGGAAAGTGTTTTAAAAGATTATTAAAAAGTATAATGAGGTTGATGGCCTTTCATAATCTTCCATAAGGATAATGCTCTTAATACCTAAAATACTAAACTATAATCATTTCATGTGCTGAATTTCCTGTGATTTGTCACTGTTTCCATTCGCCTGTTCTATTACAAAGATGTAAACTCTCATTATCTGCAGGATGTGAGAAGGAACCATCATCATATATGTGGATATACATCTTCCTGGGAAACATGTTACGTGGAATTGGTGAGACACCAATAACACCATTGGGCATCTCTTATCTTGATGATTTTGCTAAAGAAGAGGATGTTCCTGTGTATGTAGGTAATCTCAACATGAAGTAAACTGAGACATTTGTAGTGTAAGAGGCCCATGTTCTGCAGAAGAAAACATTCAGCCACTAAAATTTACTAGTATCTTCTTCACTATATTTTCAGCATGTTTGCACACAATAGCCATGTTGGGCCCAATGTTTGGTTTCCTGTTGGGATCTTTATGTGCAAAACTGTACGTGGATATTGGATTTGTGGATTTAGGTAAGCAAAATGGAGGTAAAGAGAAAGTAAACTAATACCTGTTGGTAACAGGTTCCTCTACACATTTCCATAAGTTTTTATTATATTAATTATATTTATACAGTTATCTATAACTTTTATTTATTTCATTTATTTTATTAAATACTTAATTACAATTTTATTAAATTACTGGAAGCTTTTAGGGTAAAGGCAGAAGTAGACAGGGAACATATTTTAGAATCGTGTTTTGGGATTAAAGGATTAAAATACATGTTTAGCTTTAAAAATTAGTACCAAGAACCCTTACAGACCCCAGATGTTTTACTGAACTGGGATCTTAATGAAAGGATTCTGCTAGCATAGCACTTTTACAGTTTTGGTGGATTATCTGCCTTTTCAGCTGAGCATTTTATGTTATTTACAATTTGTGTAATGTTTGCAATACATTATACACTTTTGCCAGCCCTTGCTTATTCAGATGAAAACGCATGTATATAATCACATTTGCAAAATGCCAGAGGGAGCAGAGCAATCCCCGTAAGTGGTGGCCATGGCCCTGCATCTTGTTCCCTTTCACTGGAAGAGTCAGGCACCATCTCTCAGGTGTTTTTTCCTGGCCAGCCCACCTCCCCACCCACCGCACCAGCCTGATGGGAAGTCAGGCAGTGCGGACTGGGACAGCTTTCTCAGGAAATGGCCCAGTGCAGCAGCAGCAGTGGGTGATCCTGTTTTACTAGCAGGTCAGAGAAGTTTTCAGACCTTCAGGAACCTGTAGTTAGATAGATGAACTATTTTGTCTTTGCTCTTTGTCAAGCCGATGTTTGATTTTTCTTAAGCATAAGGGCAGTGAGCCAATTCTGGTCTTGCAGTGAAAAGTCTTATAGTGTTGGTCCACCACCAAACATGCCAGCATGTAACAATCATAAAAATACAACTAACTACTCCCGTCCTCCTTGCAATACAAATTTTAAAGTCATAGCTAATCTCACTGATGCCACAGAGAATGCCCATATGTTTAATAGTAACCAACATGATTCAGTTTTGCAGAGGATCGTCTAGGTAAAGTATCAGGTCTCAAAGGACGCCAAGCCTGAGGCCTGTCTACCACCCATTTTGGTTTCCTATGTGTTGGATAAGGACCTCTGTGTTGCCATGTATGCCACAAAATGGCAGTCAGCATATCATGGAGAAAGGCAGATGAACCATAACACCATTCAGGGTATGATTACTGATGCCCTCACTGTGTGAACAGTCTCTCATTAGGTGATTATCGTTACTGCAGAAAGTCAGACATTGTAAAATGTAGCTGGTTTAGCAGGTAAGGGTGGGAAGGTTCAACTTCTTCATTTAGGTAACTTCTATCTGTTTTCCTCAATTCTAGGAAGCATCACTATCACCCCACAGGATTCCCGCTGGGTGGGTGCATGGTGGCTTGGATTTTTAATAAGTGGAGTAACCAGTTTTCTAGCTGCTATTCCATTTTGCTTCCTGCCAAAGAGTCTGAAAAAGCCGGAGGAAGCTAATAATGACAAAGCTTCATATGGCCTCTTGGAAAACATGGGCGCCCCAAGGAAGACAGTTCCTTCTGCAAAACCTAAGCGAAGGAAGTGGTCAGTAATGCTGAAAGGCAAGTGTTTCACAAGTTGTGTAAATGTGAAAAGCAATAGGCACAATGTACAGCGGGAATGTAATAGTTCTGCAGAATATCTTGCCTCCCCTGCACTTCAGTCTAAACCATTTACCTATCCCCAGGAAAGGAGGGGTCTGCTAAAGATTATTAGAAGTTAAAGAGCTTCTTCAAGACTGTGAGGTTCTGCATGCATCACCTGCAATGCATCATTGCCTGAGTGGCACCTACCTCTAAAATTTTGTGCTAGAAGAAATTTGAACAGTGGAAAAACTGTTTCTGTATCAGGACCTAAAGAAAATATTAGAAAGTTCCATTCTCAATATGGAAAGCAAAATTATTTATCTGATGATCACAGAGCTCATGGAGACTCTGAAGCATATTGCTGTCTGCCTGAATATCAGCTCTGGTTGTGCTGTTGTTAGGCTAAGAAAGGAGTGGAAAGGTTGGGAAGAGATGGCTTTGCATCATTAGTCACATTCTCCTGTCTTTGTTCAGATCCCAATAGAAGACATTGGGCATCTCCACAAAGGCACCTCTCACTTAGCCTTGAACCTGTGGTGATAGTCATGTAAGCTGAAAGAAGACTTTGCTGTGTGGAGCCCTTCAGTCTCCATGTGCAGATCTCACTAGAGCACCCAGGCCTTAACCCATACTTCTGTCTTCTTTTAGGATTCTCTTCCTGTATCTCAACCTCTGGTGTTTTTCAAGAACCTGATTTTGCTTTCAGATACTCGCATGCAAATGAAGATCAGTACGACTTGCACTTGGACAGCTGAAAGAAGGATTTTGCCCCAAGTTTCGTAGATTACTCACCAGTAATTATGCCATGCATCTTTCAAAGCCAACTCATATATCCCTTTCTTTCAGATTTCTATACCTCCCTGAAAAAAGTATTGAGTAATCGAATGTACTTTACATTTTTGTGTTGCTCACTGTTACAGTTCAGTAGCTTTATTGGTTTCTTGACTTACAAACCAAAGTACATGGAACAGCAGTATGGACAATCTGCATCTAAATCTAACTTTCTAATAGGTGAGTTACACTGTGCAATGACTGCTTATGCTATAAGCTGTGCATGGGGAGAAGTTCTGGCATGCTTTTTTCTGGGACTGAATTCCTTGCAGAACAGTAAATGGTGATCTCTCCTGAACTTGAATTATATAAAGGCAGCATACAAACTAGAGTTTTGATGCCTATGAGACCAGAATAAATAATTATGTTATGTTATGTTATGTTATGTTATGTTATGTTATGTTAATTATATTACAGCAAGGGCACCCCAAATATGCAATGAATATGGTGTGGGAGTTTTAAATGCTGCAACATCTGACTAATGCCTTGCAATGGAAGTGGGTTTTGAGGGTCAGGCACTTCAAAAATAGCATATGCAACTCAGGGATTAGGCTGAGCACAAAGTCGCCTAAAGTCATCATAATACAACATAAAGCTGCAAGGGATATTAAGCTGAGGACACTGAGTCTTAAACCAGTGTGACTCTTATTTTAACATTCTCCTTCTATAATCTCTTTCAGGACTAACAACCTTACCTCCTGTAGGTATTGGGATTTTCCTAGGAGGGCTCATAATGAAAAAGTACAAAATGAGCATCATTGGAGCAACCAAGTTTGCATTTACCATGTCATTTTTGGCCTATGTCATCACTCTCTTGCACTTTTTTGTTGGCTGTGAGAACCATGTGGTAGCAGGAATATGAAGGGTGAGTATGAAATGAAGATGAGTATGGTTTTCTCCATTGCAGCAGTAGTTCAAAAAATGTACCATGACATCAAGTCTAAAAGAGAAACATGCTTTTGCAATGCTTAAGAGAAAGTGAACACTACATACCACTTGTCATTGTGATAGTTTTGTTGGTCAGCAGAGTGTCAGCCTGGCAAAGCACAACACTAGTTAAAGATTAATTAGAAATATATTAGCAAAACTGTATCATTACCTGATGTAGGTTGTTTGGCTGTGTGGGGTGGTATTGCTGTTTCACACAATGCTATCTCTACACCAGAAGCAATTTTCTAGTGAAGTATATTCAGTAAAAGGGTGAAGCATACGTAACAGGGAGCACTGGTAGCATATCCTGCACAGAGATGGAAAGACTGCAACATGCTAGACTCTCAAGACTACTGTAAACCAAAATGAAGCTTTTATGCGTACTGAAGATGCTCTCTCCTCTCAAGAGAGAACCAGGGTTTAAAAGTTACAGGCTATTATTTTTTCTTGGAGTAAGTAAAGCTACCAGTACAGGGGATTTGTGCTAGGATATAGCTGTCCAAGGGGCCCAGTGACACTGGCATATGGGTTGTCGCTGCCTCATGTCCAGCCTGCTCAGTGTACCTCATGGCTAGTGTGAACCTGTTTGCATCTCCCTGAAGGCAGTTCCATAATTTTTCACTACAGTCCATTTATCAAGCCATACTGGTTCACAGCTGAAAAGGTGGAAATGGACAGGCAGGGTGCCAAGGTTTGGAACCTGAGGACTAATGGTATTTTGCTTATCCTGTACCCTGCAACGTTTTCACTAACAATGCAAATGGTGGACCAGGGAATGCACTTAGTAAGCACTGAGATGAAAGAGATGGCAAGCATGTAAGCTTAATTAACCCAGAAAGGAGAACATGAGGGAAGACATCCCTCTTTGTTACAGATCTCAATACCCAAGGGTATATCTGAAAGTAAAAGGCAATACTGCATTCTCCATATCCTCTAGGAAGAGTTAGGCTAGGCTTTAAGAGAGGAGTATTTTTAATTATGGAGACCAGGAAATCCAGTTTCCATAATTAGTGCATTTTTACCAACAGGTAAAGATGTACATGATAAGGCTGTGTTAACTGATGCTAGCTCTATGTAAAATTTGGGGATAGCCTAGCTGACCTCCTTCAGCTTTTCCTTTTTCTTTTCCGTCTACACCTGCCAGGTAAAATCAGTAGCAACATTTTTATTTGTTTTAAAATTCTTTATAATCTAGTAATCACTTTAATATCAGTGCAAGTAAGATGGAATCTCAAGCAAGGAGATCAATACTGTAGAGACTCAGCTATGAAAATGTTTGTTCAGGGCTTATGAGGTGGGTTTCAGGACAGCAACACTGTCACACAGAAGGGACTACATTGCCATCAGCACTGAATTAAAAGTTCTTACACCTGTCTGAACTTAACTTCCAAGCAAACCCATTCCGTACCACGAAAATGCCATATTTTCTGAGTGCAACTCTGACTGCAAATGTGCCTCCAACGTGTGGGATCCTGTGTGTGGAGACAACGGACTCACATATGTTTCGGCATGTCTAGCTGGGTGTACAACTTCGGTGGGACATGGAAAGAACACAGTAAGACCCTGCTTCAGTTTCTAAGGTTTTTTACTAGCTTATTTTCCATGTAACATCAGGGATTTAGTAGTATAATGCATTTAGGGAAATCAAAGTTACTGGGGACCAGTCAATAAAGTATTCATGATTTCTGGCTACAAACAGCACAGAACACATAGAGATTTCTGCACATTAAGCAGAAAGGCCTAGCTCCTTGTTGTAAATCCTAGATTTCATGTTTTGTAGATTGAACAAGAGAGGGAAACAAACAGTTCAAAGTGGTTACATGTTGTCTGAAGGTTGTCCATGGCTTGGCTTCCATAAACCTCATTCCATCTGCCCTGAGGTTTTCAGCCAACAGCTGAAATACACTAAGATAGTGTAGTATCTTTCCTGATATTAATCATTAATGTGTAAGTATGAAGAATGATTTGAGGGGAGGTAGCTTGTTTCCTCTGTGTGAGACTCTGGGGTGGTAGGACACTGCTTGTTTTCCTGGCTGACTGATTTTTGCTCAGCACAGTGTGCTGGGGATAATGCACCAAGTCCCAGAGCGGAAACTCCAGTCCATGGATATAAGCCTTCATTGGACTGTGTCATTCCCCTGTTTTCTGATGCCAGATGATCACTCCAGAAGATACATGATCTGGAGATGTCTCTTGCACTCAGAATTTTCTCTCCAACAGATTTTTCTTTGTGGCTGGTTTCTCTCTGATGTCTACAGTCATCTTCTTCACAACACATTCTTTGCTACAATCTTAAGGTGGGAGGCAGGGGAGAAGGGCTCAACAGCACCCCTGACAGTGGGACTACTACCACCCACACAAGTCTGTCTCTGTAGAGGTTAGGGTTTGTGGCTCACAGTTCCCTTTACCTCAGTACATCCTCAAGACCTGGTTAAAAGCTATTGCTCCTAAGCTATCAGTACACCTACTGCTGATCTCAGGGCTCTGCATGAGCTTTGTCTTGACAGGTAGCTGCTGTTTACAGCTGTGAGGTACATATGGTGGATCAGCATTAGCAGAGAGGGACCTGTGGTCCAGGTGCTTTTCACAGAGACAAGTCAGCTAACAGGTAGTGTCACCTAGCAGCAAAAGGCACAGCTCCTTGAGCCTCGCTTTTCCCCTTCCACTGCCCTCCAGGGACACAAAGCTGAGGCCAGCCTCAGAGATCCTGCAGGTACTCCAAATATCTTCCAAAAAGGTGTACTGTGTCCATTGATAAAAACATGCTGGCATAGAATATCCCTTCCGACTCTGAGCACTGTTTCTAGGAAAGGAAAGAAAAGAAGATGATGCTGCCCATTGCCTCAAGAAAGGCAAATAAGATAGGAACAGGATGCTTAGTAAGGCTTCAGGCTCTGCTGGTGTCTGAAGGCAGGATTCCCCATTGCATGAGCAATGTCCTAGCAAGCATGGCCAACAGGTCAAGGGAGGTGATTCTGCCCCTCTACTCTGCTCTGGTGAGACCCCACCTGGAGTACTGCGTCCAGCTCTGGAGTCCTCAGTACAAGAAAGACATGGACCTGTTGGAGTGGGTCCAGAGGAGGGCCACCAAAAACAAGGCCAAGTGCAAGGTCCTGCACCTGGGACGGGGCAACCCCCGGTATCAGTACAGGCTGGGGGATGAAGGGATTGAGAGCAGCCCTGCAGAGAAGGACTTGGGGGTACTGGTGGATGAAAAGCTGGACATGAGCCGGCAATGTGTGCTTGCAGCCCAGAAAGCCAACCATATCCTGGGCTGCATCAAAAGAAGCATGGCCAGCAGGTCGAGGGAGGTGATTCTGCCCCTCTGCTCTGCTCTGGTGAGACCTCACCTGGAGTATTGCGTCCAGCTCTGGGGCCCTCAGCACAAGAAGGACATGGACCTGCTGGAGCGGGTCCAGAAGAGGGCCACCAAAATGATCCCAGGGCTGGAGCACCTCTCCTATGAGGACAGGCTGAGAGAGTTGGGGTTGTTCAGCCTGGAGAAGAGAAGGCTGCGGGGAGACCTTATTGCAGCCTTTCAGTACTTAAAGGGGGCCTATAGGAAGGATGGGGAGAATCTTTTTAATAAGGCCTGTTGTGACAGGACAAGGAGTAATGGTTTTAAACTAAAGGAGGATAGATTTAGACTGGATATAAGGAAGAAATTTTTTACAATGTGGTTGGTGAAGCAGTGGAACCGGTTGCCCAGAGAGGTAGTGGAGGGCCCATCACCTGGAACATTGAAGATCAGGTTGGATGGGGCTCTGAGCAACCTGATGTGGTTAAAGCTGTCCCTGCTCACTGCAGGGGGGTTGGGCTAGATGACCTTTAAAGGTCCCTTCCAACCCAAACTATTCTATGATTCTATAATTCTAAAATGGCTTTGTGTCTTCCAGGTCTTCCATAACTGCAGCTGTCTTGAAACCAGCAGTTCATGGACAGGAAATAACTCTGCCACTTTGGGACAATGTCCAAAAAGTGAGGATTGTTCAATGAAGTTTATTTATTATACAGTAATACAAGTCATAGGTGGCTTTTGTTATGCATTGGGAGGCACCCCGTCATACATGATCATGTTTAGGTAAGTAAAACTAACCGTGTACCAATGGTTGAGGCTTTCCAATGAGGGGATCAAAGTTGTGTTTAGGTGTCTCAGTTTCCTTTAGGACAGGCTCTCTTTCAGTATGTCATGGTTTAACCCCAACCAGCAACTAAGCACCACACAGCTCCTTGCGCACTCTCCCTCCAGTGGGATGGGTGAGAGAATCAGAAGAGTAAAAGCGAGAAAACTCGCGGGTTGAGATAAAGACAGTTTAATATGTAAAGCAAAAGCATGCAAGCAAAACAAAATCAGGAATTGATTCACCACTTCCCATTGGCAGGCAGGTGTTCAGCCATCTCCAGGAAAGCAGGGCTCCATCACATGTTACTTGGGAAGACAAATGCCATCACTCTAAACATCCCCCACTTTCTTCTTCCCCCAGCTTTATGTGTTGAGGCTGACATCATATGGTGTGGGATATCCCTTTGGTCAGCTGGGGTCAGCTGTCCTGGGCTGTGTCCCTCCCAACTTCTTGTGCACCCCCAGCCTGCTTGCTGGTGGGGTGGGGTGGTGTGAGAGGCAGAAAAGGCCTTGACTCTGTGTAAGCACTGCTCAGCAATAACAAAAACATCCTTGTATTATCAACACTGCTTTCAGCACAAATCCAAAACATAGCCGCATACTAGCTACTATGAAGAAAATTAACTCTACCCCAGCCAAAACCACCACGCAGTATAACATGCTTCCTTTAATGAGTTTTGTCATTTCCTGTTTGTTTGTAGCTGTCAGCATCAAACCTTACTTTGTTGCTGTCTGAAAGTTGGTTCTAGTGTGTTGCTTCCAACTACTGCATAATGGTTTCTCTTATGCCTGCTATATGCCCAGGTTTTCCAGAACATGACCTCTTTCTCTGCTTGGATATTTTGGCTGTATAGATTTTGAAAATGCCATGCATTTCTCAGGATTTCCGGATGTGGGGTGCCCTAACAGATTGTGCTTATCAGATATCTGGAAATTCAGGACATCTGAGGGCTTAGTTTGAGGCCTCCTATGCTCAAGTCTGTTGAGGTATGCAGGTGCAAGTGTTCCAGGATGTGATTTGGAACCATGTATGCAAACTAGCGTATACTTTTCATTAACCTGAAGAGAAGGCTCAATCTGTAGAAAAACTCATTAGTGACAAATTTAATGGTAGTCCTAAGAGCATTAAGTCATCCTAAATGAGCACGGAAAACAGAATGCAAACTTCCCTCCCTTCATCGTCTCTGTGACACATTTCTCTGAGTGTAGACCATGTTAATATTTTTAAGGAGATGGCAGAGGCTGGATGTATAACAGATTCAAGATGAGAGCCTGTTTCTGATGCTTAGAGTGTGGTTCCCCGTGAAACAGATGGGCATATTGCCAGATGGCTTTGTGTAGTTCAAGATGGGGAGTTGTACAGACAAATATCATCGAGAATAAAAAGATGCCACACTGATGCAGCTACTTGCAACATTTTTGTCTTAGGGGACTGTGATATTTCCTATCAAGAGAGTAAGGTATTTCCCATCGAGTGAGGAAAATGTATGCCAGGGAGTTAAAGCAGTTGGAGAGCCCATTTCAATAAGACTAGGATAGACTGTTATTATGGCTTTAAAATTTCACTTCTTTAATTATGCTTAGTGAATGGACTTCCCAGGAGCTATGTGATGGAAAACAATAGATTAATTCACCTTTTTCATACCACTTAACATATTTTCAGCAGACGTAGGAAGCACTCTCCTTCCAAAGCTTGGCTTTCTGTCATTAAGAACATTAAATGCAGGGTAATTAATGGCAGTGTAATAGGCATGTCTAAGCACTAGATAGACAAATACTTCATACTTATCCCTCTTTCTTTCAGATGTGTTCAGCCAGAGGTGAAATCTCTCGCGGTTGGTCTATACACACTCATTATGAGAACGCTAGGTAAGAGAAATCATTCTGAATAACTAACATGTATGTTCGTATGGCTTTAAATGACCCCAATGCAACCACCATTTGTAAACCAGATGTATCCTTAAAATAGCTCTTAGACCCTGGGCTGCTCCTGAAGATCCTATTTTTTTCCTGAAGACCCAATATTCAGTCAAGAGTTCACTGGGAAACCAGCTAACACAATTTTGAAAATCTTTGACCTGCTGATTAAATGGTGTTGCAGTTTGGGAGCCTAGTGTTCCAAAATGGGAAGAGTTTCTAAGCAAAATCAAAGTGTTATCTTGAATTTCCGAATAACACTATAAGGTTTCAAACTTGTGATTCAGCCAACGTCTCAGTGAGACACAATGCTGCAAGTAAGATGGAAAAGACGTGTTCTAGTAGGACTTCATTCAACACTAACACAACTCTGTTCATAGAGAAAACACTCTGCTGTGAGCAGAGTGTTGTTTTCCATGTTGAAACTTCACTTTCCTGGTAGACGACAGCTTAGATTTCAATTCCCTTTAAGCATGCTGCAATGCTTTTTTTTTTTTCCTTTTTTATTTGAGAGTTGCTAATGAGAAGGTTGATTAAGACGCCTAGGTAGGCAAGAAAACCTGTCTATTTCCTTTTGTTCTCTTTGTCAATGAAATAGGAATACCTGCATTTCAGAAATGTAGAGAAATGTGTGTGAAGAGTCAGGCCACACAGGTTTGCTATGTAGCCTAAAAAATCAACACTAGCTTACAAATGTCTACAGTCAGAGCTAGGTTAGGGCTGTCGTCTCTACTTAGGATTCTGATGGGACACTTTGAGATAGGAAGGTGTATCCACACTTTGTCCTCTTCTACTTTTCTCATCACACAAATGGAGGGGCAGAATTTCTTATCCAGCTCTCAGGACAAGCAATGCCAATGGGATTCTTGGAGTTCTTTCAGCCATGGGAAATAAAAAAAAGCATTAAGAAAGAAGAACTGCCCCCTTTCTATAGGCTTCTGCTTCAGCACATTGAGCCATCATTGTGAGCTCCTTCCATTGCAAGAAAGGGTAAAGCCACTGTCATTGATTCACAAAAGCTGGCATTTCTCTTCAGTGACTCAGAGATCAAATCCGATGTACTCCTGTCCTCCTAAGTAACCTCCAAAATGAGCATGTCCCATCATACCCTGACTATAGCACTGATGATCATAATACACAGGCCTTTATAGATAGATTACTGAGTCCAGACTCTCACAAGAGGCCTAGAGTAGAACAGGCTGAGAGTATACCTGGTTTTACAAAATAAATTATTTCCTATATAAGAATGCAAGATGCTCCTGTAGGAACAAAGCTAATGTGAAACATTGCCCTGTACACGCTGAAACCTGGATTCCTCTGAAGTTAATACTTGCCTTTACTTCAGAAAGGCTAGGATCTTGTCCCACGTCTGCCATGTTTTGCAGTAAAGCATAAGCTCATAAGTCACACTAAGGATGCAACTGAAGTTGCTCTATTCTCATAGACATTTTTGAAAAGCATATTCAGTTTCTCTAACCATGTGTACTTGGTGCTGTGCCTTCAGGCAGAAGGGACTCTCAGTTGCTATCATATAGATATGAAGTCAGGCTATCTATATAGATATGAATTTAGGCTATGCATAGAAGAAGGAACTATGCATCAGTTCAGTGCTCCAAATACACAACCAGTCCAGCTCGCCCTTGCAGAATATTAGCATGCACTGGAAGCCAGCAGTGGCTTTCAGAGCCATGCTCGAGAAACAAACATTTATGACTACAAGCCTGGCCAAACCCATCAGACCACATTTCCTGGGGACTGATGATGCCCACAGCACAGAGAGGGGTGTCCCAGCTTACAGTTACTCTGATAAAGGAAAGGAAAAACTCCCCACAGTCCAACCCACCTATTGCCACTATTGCAGCCATGTAACTTGCCACTAAGAAAAGATAAAGCTGATTTCCAACAAGATGTCTTTTCTTGTGATATCTTGTGACATTTTTGCTTGCTTCTTTGCAGCTGGGATTCCAGCACCAGTTTATTTTGGTGCACTGATCGACAAGACATGCTTGAAATGGGGAAGCACAAGCTGTGGGCAGCGAGGGGCTTGCAGGCTATATGACTCCAATGCATACAGGTAAGGCAAATTAAGGCACAAAAAGCCTCGTGTACTTCCTCTCTACAGATAGATATGCTTTGTTCTGTTATACTGTAGTGTGTGAGGCCACTGATTGAAAATTATTGTCAGATACTAACTCTGGACTCAGATTTACTTCAGTCCAGAAATCCTGAAATTGAGAAATCTTAAGATCGCATCTTAAAATCTTAGTTTTTAAGACAGTTTTTATGTTGTGCAAAAATCATTTAATATCAATGACAGATACTTTCTGGAATGAAATACATATTTGTAATATCCTTTGAGTCAATTTAAAAGACCTAGGATTGTATGATTTACCATCAAGAGGAAAGGTACCCAAATTTACCTTATTGGTGGGTAGTTTGTTCATACTGGCAAGACTGTTAACTTTGTGCATTAGCCACATTTGAAAGAAAAACAAATGAAAGAAAATCATACTGAGCAGCTGGTAAGTTATTAGTTAAACACAAACAATATCAGTTTCCAGGAGGAATATTCCAGAGATTTTTCTGTTTCAGCCAAACCTTGGGCACTTCTGATGTGTTTTTTTATTTTCACATAAAATAGCCTACTCTGGTGATCTCAATATATTTCTAGCCCTAAAAAGTCTAAGGCCTTAAAGTGATCCAAAAATCTTTAGAAACAAAGTGAAGATGATGGAAGTTTCACTTTGGAACTATCTTCATAAGTAAAAAGAATATTATCAATTCTTTAACAGATGTTTTTGCAAGAAAAAATATCTAGTTTGTGATACCATTCACAAAGAATGAGTTTTAATGTTTTCTCCTAAGGTACTATGCAGTTTGGGTATATATGTGATCTTAAAAGCCTTTACAGCGACTTACTTCATTGTCTTTGTAAAAAACAATGTCTGGCACTATCTTCTATGCTCTATCCCACAGGTATGTCTACCTTGGTTTATCAGTGGTGTTAAGAGGTCCTTCCTACTTGATTGCAATCATTCTTTTTATATTAATAAAGAAACACTTTCAAAATAAGAACTCCAGGCCTATAGAGAATGTAGGAAAAGAAGATGCTCCTATGAATACAGAAGATAATTGCAAGATCAAAGAGCATTTGCCAGGTTCTTCTGATGCAGAGAATGAATCAAGTATTTAGAAAGCCATTTAGACCAGTGTCACATGAATCAGGACAGCTTCTTTTAGAAACAACCTTCACAATGTTATGAATAACTAAATAATAAATAATAATACCATTCAGAAATTAAAACTAATAGCAAACCTGTGATCAACAACAAGAAAAACTAACATGCAAGTATGAAAGTGCCTTACGTGTACCTGGTTACCGATAACAGACAGAACAAGTTACAGGAACTGAATCAAATTCTCAACAGATAAAGGAAAACCTCCACTGGCGTTTCTGATAGAGCCAGTCTGCAATTTTTAATGGGGTCAAAGACGACTGTTGACAGAACAGCCATATGCCAAAGGCTCACAAAATGTGACACTGATCCTGTATGCAGATCCATGCGGTAGACTGCCACAGGAATGACAAGCTCAAGGCTAACAGCAGTATTCTGATTTCATCAAATTCAGTCAGAATTCGCAGTAAAAGCAAAGCCTTTAAGCAAAACGTTTCCACTTTATCTAAACAAATGATTGCAAAAATTTTCCATTGCAAAATTGACAAAAGCAGCTTTTTTCCAAGAAGCATTTTATCTTAGCTCAGCTGAAAATTTTATGCCTACTTGAAACTACAAATACATTGCCATAAAGGAAGTAATTGTTTTTAAAAGTCTCAGATTCGTAGCATTTATTAAAACATAAATTTTTTTAGGTAAGTGACTATGAAATGTAAGAAATAACCTGAATTTTGTCACGATGTTGTTTTCTAAGCAAAATCCATCCAACATACGCTGGTGGCTTTATTGCTATGCCATGTGCTGTCCAGCAGAGGACACTCAAACAATAACGTTACCCCTATGACTACTGCAAATACTCCAAGCATTTATCATGTTCAGTCTTTATTGTTCTGGGAGAAGTTCATCATCAGGCAGGCAAAACACTCACCTGTGTTTTCATGCACCTTCAAATTTTCTCAGCTCAAGCCTTTAGCTCATATATGCAAAGTTGCTTTTGTGTATTTGTTGGTTTGTGTTCATCATATTTGCGTCACTCAGAGCTTGACAACTGTTGTTACTTTAAATAAAAATATGTGTACTTGCATACCATTTCACAAGAGTGATTGAATTCTCCCGTTGGTGCTTTCAAATAGATGCTCAAGGCTCAGTGGGATGTGGTTAATAGACATGTTAGATAAAAAAAGTACATGGAACAAAATGCTGAGTTGTTCTGAAATAAGTGTTGTCTGTCATGACGGTCACTTAGTTATTGCAGCAGCTGAAGTAAAAGAATGGGACTTTTTGTTTCAAAAAAAAAAAATTCCAGTGATATCTACTGGAAGCAGAGTTTCTCCATCTAGCAAAACTGATATGACTCTGCTTGGTCTTGTCTTACAACTGCATCTGCAAATGTTTTGATATATCCAGATGTAGCCATAGGAACATGTGGCACCTAAAGAAATGAACCACCTTACCTAACTATTGAACTTGGGAGTGAGTTTTGGCAGGAAAACTAATTACTACTCTCTAGTTCTGCTTGTTTTTCAGCTGCTTTGTCCAGATGATATTTTTCTAACATGTCTCAGTGCAACCATAATTTCCTAAGGTGTCTTTAAAGCCAGGGGTTTGGGGGAGATATTTTTAATCAAAAATCTGTAACCTTTAGAAAACATATTTTATGTGACCAAATATACCAGTTTTAACTGAAAACAAGAGCTAATTCCAGATGCCAGATTATGAGAGTTATGCATGAGGAATCAATGATGTCAAAAGAAATTGTTACAGCCTCCAGCAGATTTAGGAAGCTATTACTCCGGCCTCACGAGGTCAAGGAGGTGTCTAAACTGGCCTGTTTGGATACAGAAAGGAAGGCTGGCACAAGAAGGTCATAACTTGCTTATTGAGGGGTTTTTTTTTCCCGCTTTCTTGTGGAAAAAATGGTTCCAGCCAGAGTCATGGGGCAAAGCCCAGCTGCCTTTGGGTGCCACAGCAGCTCAGCACCAGGGCGGGGGGGCGAGCGCAACATTTTGATTTGTTGCCAGCCTTGAAAAAATTGTGGCTTTCCCTCCATCATTAAAAAGCTGCAACTGTAGGTCGTGGATCTATGGTGGAAGCAGAGCAAACAGGACAAATTATTTTATCTTGCAGTGCAATTCTGCAATTAATGTTTGTGCTACTGTTGTGTCCCAAGAGCCCTTGCTGCCTAAGAAGCACTCTGCACACATATGTGCACACACATGCGCATGCACATGCACAAAATGGCAATCTCTGCTGCAAGATGTATGCATTTAAGGTAGGGCAAGGTGTGTATTGCCAAGCAGCAAATCAGCAAGAAACAATGATGACTGCTGCTAAGCATGGTCAGGAGAGATTTGAAGAAAACTAGAGAGCTAAATTTGAGCATCTTTACAGTTCTGGAAGGAAAGCCTAGACACTTTTTTAATTGTTTTTTTTTTTTGAGGGGAGAAAACTACTCAGTGGAAAGATGTACATCAATGTGTTTCAGCAATAATCTCTCACTGCAGCCACAATTTTTACACAGCGAGTTAAGTAAAATTCAACACCTACATCTACTCTTTTATCCACTGCTGTAAATATACCCATAGCTCCCTTTGCTCAGGTCTTTGGAAAGGCAGGCCAGTTTTATTCCAGTGCCTCCCTTTCAGTACTGAGGTTTTGAACATTAGGAGTAATGCCTCTAAACTGACAAAGCTGGAAGTTATTGCAGCAGTTGGGGGCGGCGGGGGGGAAGTTGGTTTCCTTTGTGGGTTGTTTTTTTTTTCCCCCGGGTAGCTGGGGTTTCTTGGTAAACAGTGTGAGAAAAAAGGTTTTATCTTTCACGCCTAAAATGCCTAAGCCTGACCCCTCTTTGTATTGCTGATTTGGCCCAAGCTGAATGTTTACATCTCAAGACAAAGCTGAAACACATAAAAGAAGTGGTTTTCCAAGGCCATGTGTGGTGCTGTGAGCTTTATGTCTGAATCAATGCAAAGCATGAGAAAGGCTCATTGAGCTTTTATGTTGTATATACTACCCCATGGATGTTACCCTAGTTTTATTCTGAAGCAGCATCTCTATGCAATAAAATACATCACAGACATATGGCACAATACAAAGACAACAAATCTGTCAGTTTTATTTTGGTGACAGGTTATCTACTGGTGCAAATCCATCCACTGTGAATAACTTCACCTACCTGCCCAAGCTAGCAAGTGGGCTCATTAATGCCAAGCTGAACCAGTGTTAAAGATTAGCTCTTTTCTTTTATTTTAGAATTTATAATACTGATTTCTTGGCAAAATGGCTATCTGTCATACATTTTATCCATAGTAGCATAACATCAGGTGGTGCCTTTAGTTTTAAACATATGAATTTTCTTTTCTAATAAAATTCTTGGAATTTAGAAAATACTATTAATTTAATGTACCAGTGTGAAATATTCTGGAGTAATGTCAAAACACAAGGGACACTCTACAGGACTGTGCAAACCCACAGTGTGTGCCCTGTTGGATTATGGTCACAGACCTGATCAGGGATGGACCACTGATGTGTTCTACTCATTTCAAGGGTAAATGTTTCATATAGTCAGATCTCTCCAGTCTTTCAAAAAATTAATCTGGAATCTTAGCAGTTACTCATTATTTTTAAAAGATATTGGCCAGTGGTCAGTAATAGAACTAGTTAGCTTTCTTAGTGCACCTTCTCGTGCATGCCTTCTGGAATTCTTTACTTACACACACACTAAGTACCTGCAAGTATTTACTTGCAAAAGCTCCTTAGTTTCCAATTATTCATAATATTCTTTTTTTTCTTCTTCAAAACAGATTTTGAGAGTTCAATAGCTGACTCATTTCTGAATCATCATTAATTTCAGCCCACTAGTCTTTTTTTAATCCTCATTTTAATACATGGGATTTAAAGTTGTTTGTTGCTTTCATTGACTTTAGGAATGCATTGAGTTGGTTGAAAAGAAGCATTATGGAGGGTAAGAAATGCTTTTGCCATCCAGGTCTCATAACTGCCCTTATTCCAGCCCTGTTAGACAAATCCTTCTGAGCTATAAGAGATTCAATAGCTAGTTCTTAAGGTCATCCAAACATTAGCAGATCTAGAAGACCTGCCATTGGGTGAGCTGTCATTATCTCTACATTGATGACACTACTCAACACAGGATGCACTTTGCTAGCCTGGAGTCAACTTTGACTTGCAATAAATGCCAACTTTGGCATTTATAGGCATTCATTGGAAAGCAACAGCAGACAATGCACTGAAAACACAGTTTCCTGTTGTTCCTAAAAAGCTTCAAGAGGACTGAAGTTTTCAAAAAATGTAAAATTGCAGAACAGAACTGCCTTAGCAGCAGGTACTTATGGATGGATGGATGGGCAACCATTAACATTCAGAGTAAAAATATATCAAATCAATGTACTACTTAAATTATTTTATCTCCTAAATAAGCTGATTTGGTGAAATAGTTATCATACATGGGAATAAGACATGGGAATAAATGGAACAGGATTTATTACAGTAACCAGACTACATTTTGTGGTCCAACTTCTGGCATTAACAAAAAAAGTCTGTGAATAATCCAACCCAGTTGATCCAAAAAGGCAACCTCTGGGTTGGGACTGCATGCACGGCTAGGATTGTTTGTGTTGATGCAGGAGTGAATCCCTGCACTGTGCAATTTCAAGCTGAAGAAAGAGAAAATCATGTGTTAAGGAGTTACTCCTCTACTTGAAATCATCTCTTTCCAAGTTGCTGTAACATGTCTTCTACAGTGAGAGCTCAATGACCAGTATTAGCTATTTTTGTTCCTTTCCTGCTCTTCAGTTTTTCTCTCAGATTATGTCTTCTGGGATCTACAGAAACAAATGGAAATCATGGTATTTCTGCTACAGTTTTCATCAGTATTTTCAGATCTTAGATCAGTCTCCATCAACACTTTGTAGTCAGAGAAGAATGGAGGAAAACTGAGCTGGAAATAACTATTATATTACACATAAAGATTTGAATGGTCTGATATGAGAAGGAGTGTTCTTTATCTTCCAAAACTTTAGTAGAGCATCTGTTACCCTCACACATGAACTCAAGGTAGACATTTTTTGACACATTGAAGTTGAACAGACTATCTTGAGGTTTGGGATGTCTGCATTCGGTTCTTTGCTCTGTTACAGTCTTATTTCCTT